GGGGGACGCGAATAGAACTATACCCATATATATATATATATGTACGCATGTGCGCGTGTCATATGTGTATGTGTATATGTATATACATACATATTTTGCATGCATGCATGCATGGATGTATGTATGTATGTATGTATGCATGTATTTATACATACATACATACATACATACATACATACATATATATATATATATGTATACATACGATATGTATACATACATACATACATACATACATACATACATACATAAATACATACATACATACATACATACATACATACATACATACATATACTCGAGTTTGTATGTATGTATATGTGTATGTATATATATATATATATGTATACAATATATGCTACCGCCCCCTCAAGGATCTACCGTTTTCGGGTGTTTGAGAGCTGGATGCAGAAGACATGAAGATTCGTTTGGATTTGTGCTCGTGTGGGCATCACGACAGCATGGCATGAAGAAGACGCGACAGCAGGGGTTCTTTTTTTGGCATAAAGAACGGGTGAGAACGCAAAAAGGTTGAAAACACTTGGTTTTGACTTTGCTATAAGTTAACCCACAGAGGGAAGCGAGACTGACTGGTGGGATAGATTCCAGAGGAAAAAGACTCAATGTAAGCCAAAAGAACGAAAAGAGGAAGTTAAAAGAAACAAACACGTGCTTTTCTCTATTCATTCTCTTGTTTGAACGAACAAAGTGTATGAGTGATTAGTTCACTTAAACAAAGCCTACAACGTGGAATGATAAAGCACCTAATTTTTGACGGTACGTCTTACGACTTTTACAATTACATTCTATGGGCTGATTGAATTTCAATATCTATCACGTGTTCCTTCCTTTGCATCCCTTACCCTTCGTTTCTTGTTTTTCCCACCCGCCCAGCTGACAGAGTCGCACCGCAGAGAGTTGGCCGGAGACTACACAGTTTTTTCGAGGTGAAGATGCAAGGACAACACATGCTCCCGTCAAACAAACACACCCACAGCTAGCAAAAGGTAGAAAATAGGAAGATACCCAGAGAAAGGTCTTCAGTTCTTGATTTCCGGCGAGATCAGATTTTGTACATTTTTGCCCTTCTTATGATGTCTTGCTGTAAGAAACAAGGAAAACAAGGTGCATGAACAAAAAGGAAGGTAAGGGCCAACAAAACAGACATCAGAAGGGTAATCGGGCTCATTATTCAAGGCTGGCATACTTCGCGTACCTAGCTGTATGACAGGCTGTCATCATGCATAATTAGTCACACGATTCAGGATACACCAGGTAAAAGAACTCATTTCATGCATTTTTTGAATACTGCAGCCTTGGCAGAGGAGGCTACTCAGGCTCAGAAAAGTCACGCTGATGATTCGTGCTGATTGCAGTCGTTAAAGACTGACAAGCGTCTATCCAGCTTCGTCTCTGTGAAGAGCGCCAACCAAATGTGGCCTACCATCTGCCGGGAAACAACACCAAGCAGCTGCTTGCGACCTCAAGCGTCACCCTCTCTGGTCACAATGCGGCGGTGTTTGCATGCATCCTGACACAGTTGGCCATGCATCTTCGCTCTGGATTTGAGCTCGCGACGGCCTTTTGTCACAGGGATGCAGTCAGTCTCTGATGGGCTTACCACTTCCCAACCATAGATCGAGTCAGGCCATCTGTGTCATTTCAGAACGTGTCAGCTGCTTCCGATGTATTTGGTAGTCCCGTAGGCCTTTCAGCAAGTCTGACAACATGCTTGACGCATCCAAGGCTCTTCAGGCCCGCATGCCCGCGCAGAAAGTCGGAGTTTGTACGCCATTGGTTTTTCAGGGCAATCTGTCCCAATTGTTTTCCAGCTGTCTAAAGACTTGTTCATGCAGCCAGCGGAGGGGCACCAGTCAAAGGAATGGCAGCGCGCTTGATCCAAGGCTCTCCAGGCCCGCAGAGATTCGGAATTTGCATATTGGTACCAGGAGGACCGGCTGCTCCTGATGATCCCCCTAAACTTGCGTGCAAACCGAACTGCAGCAAAGGCTGGTGGTAATGTTTCGATTACGTCATTCAACTCCTGAGGCTGTAGAGCTCGAAAAGGTGTCAGGTGAGGACGTTGTGTAATTCGAAAGAACTCCATCCTGTCTTCAGGGGGTTTTGAGATGCCTTGAAAGGAGACAAAGTGTCGTTTCCTTTTAAGGTCCTCGCGAGAGCTTGATGGCAAACGGCTGGAAGTTTAAGACAGGGAAACAGCAGGAGTCTTGCAGTCCGGCCGCCTTTTGATCACCTCAGTCCGTCCTTAGTCCAGGAGGTAAGGAGATCTCGATCTCCCGCGTGCAGTTGACTCGCTGTCAGAAGAATCCAGATGGAGTGTGAGGGAGGGTCGCTTAGATTTTTGAAAACTGTCGGGGATTGTGAGTTGTCGTACAGTTTGGTGTCCATAGAAGGTGGTAAGACTGTGATGGTCCAGGTGGTTGGGGTCGTAGGGGGCTCAAATCCTGAAGTTGCAGGAATGTGTTGAAATGAGTGCTATTGTTAACTGCCAGTTGGGGGCACCAAGCTGTTACTAGGTTTCGTTCACCAACTTCCCATGTAATAAAACTCGTGAGGAGAAAAGTATGGGTTTGTACTGGATGTCATGAAAGTAGCCTTTAAGGAGGTCAGGGGAATCTAGGCGCCAGCCTTCTACAGGACCTTGTGGGTGCTCGATCCAAAGTCTTCCCTTCTTGTATTCGGTGAGGCCTATGATTAGGGAAGGGCAAAGGAGTTTCGAAGGTCCTTGTGAGGAGGTTTGCCGGGGCCAGTTCTTATAGAAAGGGCGGTGAAGGGGACAGGCTCAGGTTGGCTTGTAGATACAAAGTTTGCAAGTGTAAATGACACATTTGGTAGGGCCGGGGAGAGTCGGATAAGTTGGGTTAAGGGCCTAGGATGTTGTCCAGCAACAATAAACTTGTTACCCCCTTCATCTGCATCCCAGAACTTATTAGGAATCTCAGCCGCGAGTCGTGATAGCCTGACATTTGGCTTTGGTGTCAAGTTTGGGTAGGGCTGCCAGTAGGGCTTCAGCATCAGACTCTACTCGGCTTTCTAAGTTGCTCTTCGCAGGGGGGCTCTCATCAGGCTCAGTGGGATGCATGTCGATGAAAGAGAAGAAAGGACTCGAGCCAACAATCTACAGGGCAGTATGGCTGGGCAAGGGCAAGGAGACGGAGGCAAGGAATAGGGATCAAGTGTCCATCGCAAATTTTGGAGCCTGCACCTGGACTGAGATCGGTACGAATTAGGGCCGGAGCCATTACGAATTAAGCAGGGCACGAATTATTGTGGTTGTGAATTAGAGTAGACTGCAACTTGGAAAGTGGGTAAAACAAAACACAGAACAAACCAAGACAAGGATGAAAGCGGGGCTCCTACCTTCAAGTCACCGTTCACTGTGAAATCCGAAGAGATATGCCAGTGCTTGCTGAGCTCTCACATTGCTGGGATCAGAAGTTGGAGGCCATCTTGGTCCTCCTGGGGGCATCCCTATGCTGTCAAAGAGTTGTAGCTGCTGGCGCGGCCCCATGCTCTCACTTATTCTCAGAATCGGCGGATCCCCAATTGCCGATGGTGGCCCAAAGGACTGAGGCATCGTTGAGGGCGGTGGCTGGGCCATCGGTGTGGTAGTCGAGGATGAGGCTGGCATCTGCGCCGTGGCGCTCGATTGTGCCGGCTGCGAAGTCGCAGACGATCCACCTGGTGGGTTAGGCGGCGGTGCTTGAGCGGGCATCGCTGGTGTAAGCCTGTTCAGGATCTTCTCTGTTCCAAGTGGTTCTGCATCTTTGACAGGGCATCTGACTGCCTCTTCAACTTCTCGTCGTGGTCCCTCAGTGTCTCCTGGATGGAGTTGGTCATTCCTCCATGTGCTCATTGGGTGGTACTGACTCCTTGGACCTGGTTGAGGTTGTTGTTGGAGAGGCTGCACGCCTGCTTGACGTGGTTCATCAGGGCACGTTGCTGTGTGGAGTGTTCAGCTCCTCGGTCTTTTTGCTGTTCCTGCTTCTCCAAGCATTGTTCCACAGGCCGATGACTTTGTAAGAGAAGTCCGGTCCCATGCTGTCCCCAAGTGTGGTCAGCTCCACCTGGACCTTCGTGAGGATGTCGATCACCGCATCCATCTTCTGCACTACTTCTCCTTCAAACCACTGCTGCGAGCTTCCTTGCAATTCATCCAGGGAGCTCTGTGCTGTGTGGGCTTGTTGGGTCAGCAGCTTTGTGGGCTGCAGTGCCAAGTAGAGCCTTCTAAAGCGAAAGAGCATGGAGTGTTCGTCATGGGACCTTGATGGGTGCATGATGGCATCGAACTGATTGCACCAAATTACCATGCACGAGGGTTTTGTTGGCATCGGCATTCAGCATCTTGCCCACAAAGGCCGGCAGGATGCCCATAAGGTGGTCGAATGTTGCCGATGCATGAATCTGTGCTATGACTGACAGCTCCTTGTTTTGTTGCTCAAGAAGCGACTCCACCGCCTTGGGCGAGAGGATTGTTTGCATGCATTTGTCCAGGAGGCCGTCGGCATGTTCACGAAGGGCTTCCTGTTTCTGCTCGCCGTCCTGCATATAGGCCGCGATGGATTCAGCTACTGTCTTCTGCAGCTGGGTGACACGGCGGTCAATGTAGGCGTAGACCAAGTGAAGGATCCCATAGCCAAACACAGTGATTGCCATGCCGAAGACTACCAGAAGTTGGCTCCAATCGTCCGGCTGTGTCAACTCACGGACCCAAGCAGGGAAGCTGAATGGGAGGACCATGGTTACGGAACATGGAGGATGTGGGTGTGAAGTGCGTGAGAGCACTCAAGTATAGGCGTGAACTAATCAGCATGGCTACTGGGCTGCCTGTTTAAGCAAATCAAGAACAATCAAGCTACAGATCGAGTACGAGTCCAAATGGGGGTAGGCAAACTTTATGTCGCATCCGAAATTAAAAAACCGCACGAAATCCTAATGGATGCCGTGGTTCTGCTCTTGGACTCCAGGTTTGCAGCAGAAAGACGTCTATGTCGTTACAAAATATTATACAAAGACCCCGCCAACTACAATTTACTTGGTCGAGTCAAGTCAGAAGATAAAAACAACAGGTTGACCACAAGACTGGAGGAGTAAGTTCTCAAGTTCAGGTCGCATCGGAAATTAAACCTAAAGTCCTGAAAGAGGCCGTGGCTTTACTCTTGGACCCAGGTTGTGCAGCAGGAAGATGTCCATGTCATTACAAATTAAGGTGCACAGGCATTACGAATTACAAATTATGAATTAAGGTTTGTTGTGGGAGTCGGGAGACAGTAGATACTGACAGGAACTAATTATGACAATCAACGGCCCCAGACGTCTCAGACGTCCTGAAAACCTGGCGGTGCCTCGCCATCGCTGTCATCATTAACCTGCAATGTCGTGCCGTCGTCGAGGACAACTTCTCTTGGCGGCCCTCTTTGCGAGCGCCTTTCCTGAGGCACATTGCTCGGCTTGGGGGGCTCGATGACTGGCTCCAGCGGAAAGGGGCTGCGTTGCAGTCGTTGCAACGTGTCCCGTAATTCTGTGAAGGTCTCTGGGTTGACTCTTTGAACATGGGCCTGCAGTGTGTCCGCTCGTTTCTTGGTTTAGGTCTAGAGGTTAATATATTGAACAACATATTTTTCGCTGTTTTTTAGTTTGAATATATGGAATCAACTGAATACATGATTTAAGCGTAAAAGGCCACTGAAAAATAGCAGCAGAATCCGGAGTCGTTCGTGAAGGTCTCAATGTTTGACATCCTTGAAGCTTGAAGTGAGTCCTGTTGTATCCTTCGTGTACTATAAGTTAAGACAATGTAACAGAGTAAGGCGTGCTTGATTTATGATTAAAATTAAAACAATGAGCGCAACAGAACGAACGAACCAAGTTGACACAAACAAGAATATCGACGTGAGGATAGCTTCTGGATGGCCTATGGCTCAAGGAAGAAACAACTGAAACCGCATAAGATATGTTCTCTTCATTAAAACACAGCCCTAGGTTTCTTTATGATCGGCATGTGTTCGCTGCTTCAAAAAACCCAAACAAACGAAAGAAACAGCAGTGCGTGTTCAATTGAATCAAGCAAAACAGACGGAACAAGCAACAATTAGCGCCTCACGTTTAATACAATAAAACACAAAGGAGTGAAGTTAAATGAGGCCGCATGCGTGGTTGTATTGTTATAAGAAAGGAAGAGTGCCGTGAAGATAATTGCCTAGTGCTCTGGCATATTCTATCAATGAATCAGAAACGAAAAGAAATCCGAGGAATGAACAGAAGAGAACAGAGCAAACTGAAAACAAAAAATCATACTGGAACAAGACAGGCCTTTCATCACTCCATTACCTTTGCTTCATCAGTGCTTGTGCTTTTCCATTTGTATCCTTTGGTTTAGAGATCTATAGTGGCCTTTTGTGCAGTTAAAAAACAAGTGTAATGACAGCGGTGTTTTTGGGCTTTTAAGTCAGCAACAATAAGCCACACATGACACAAATAATGAATGAAACAACTGAAGGCGTGCATTATTTATGCTTCGTTTCATCTCATTACATTACCATGGCCTCTTCCACTGTACTTTTGAGCATACATAAAAACATATCGGATATGTTTTCTTTGATGGAAGCAACACGCATGCACTTCCTTACTTTGTTATTTTATTTCACCGAGTTAAACACGAAATCGAACCGTGCATTGCACTTAAATCATCATGTTCGTCTTTTGGAATTAGTTCGTTGTACCAACAGAACAAGTTAATATAATGGAATGGACTCAAACAAGCGAATCAAAGAGAAGCGTGTATTCATTCTGTTTCATTGCATTGAATCTTGCTCTTTTGGGGTTCCTATGGGGTGTTTTGTGTAATGAAATGAATGAAGCATGCATTCATCACTTTCTTCCTATCTTCATCAACTAATGACAACAGAACGAAACAGGAGCACAGGACACAGCTAGCCCCTGCCCTCCAGGATCTACTGTTTTCGTGTGGTGGGGTTCACCCAGCCACAAAACGGTGGATCCATGGGTGGCGGGTTACCATATATATATATATACGTACATACACACACACATATATATATATATATACAGCTATATATATATATATATACATACATGCATACATACATACCTACATACATACATGCATACATACATGCGCATAATTTCGCATGCAGGAAATCGGGATTATGGTGTTTCAAGGTGCTTGTGTTGAACTAGGAAGTTCACTGAGAATTTCCCAGCCTTTTTATGGACACTGCAAAACATGGAACTGATAACAGATGCAGAAGTCATTCGCTTCACCGCGTTTAAGCCAAGACACCATGACTTCAAAAGCAAGAAGTAAGCAAGAAGGGGGAATAGTTGGTGAGGGCAGGATGCACGTAACAGGTAGTGGCAGGGGCACAGGCAAGTTTATGATTCTTGGATTGTTGAGGGTGTTGATGGCGATTGCTTTGTAGAAGAGTCGGTCATGATGCTAAGCGGCGGTGATGATGATGAAGCTAGGTTGAAGATGATACGGGGAGGATGATCACATGTTCTGCAAGTTGCCATTACAACGGTCATCAATATCATCGTCGTCATCATCAACATGCTTCTGAAGCTGGGGGCTAGCTTACGTTCTTGGCTTTTGATGTTTGTCATGGTGATGACGGTACCGTCTTCTTTCCGGTGATAAGGTAATGGAGAGGGCGTGGTTGATCTTGTTATCCAGTAGAAGTTATTGCTTTGTCAATGTTTTCTACTAGGTCAACTAAGGCTTGATGTCGGTGATGCCAGTGGTTGACATTCATAATGGTGTGGATGACCAGGTTCCTGAGGGTCACACAGATGATGTTGGTGATCGTGATGGTGCTGGTGTTGACGGTGCCGATGAGAATGGTGGGTCATGTAGATGGGATAGAACTGTGATGGGGTAGCCGTAAAGAAAGCCAGTGCTTTGTGGAAGTCGTCTCCGCCCACTAAGAAATGGAGAAGACCCGGTTTCGTAATGAGCACGGCGGAGCGCTGAGTGCGGCACGTCCGCTGGGAGTCGAAGACGCCCCGATGGGCTTTGGGGTTGGGTGGTACTAGTAGCGGCATACTTGTTCGCTTAATGTCACAACTCAAAACTATGACCCCAAACACATGGTGCCATGGGAATCACAGACTCGTATGCCATTTGCGTCTGCAGAAAGAACTTGGGCATACTAGGGCCCAGTGCACCATCTGGAAAACAGACTTCTTTAGCACTTGCAAGAGCTCTTGGTGCAGGGCCAGTGTCGATGGGGATCTCAACAAGAAATAGTTTTCTTTAGCCCCATTAAAGCACCGTGATTACGAGTATGTATGTACTACGTGATAAAGTCTTTGGCAGTATATCCCTAAAGCAAGGCATTGATCTTGCCACGTAGGCAACGGTATTGAGCTTTTCCACTCTGGGGGACTCCCGCAGATTCGTACGAGTCGACCGCGGCTCAAGGCTCGGATGTGCAATCGTCAAAAGGGTTCACGGGTTGTTTAGGCTAGGGTTTCCTCCAGAGTCTTTCGGGACGGATGAGTTTAGGCTTTTAGGATGAACGTTTCGTGGCATGTTTCTCAGACTAAACGCCAAATACAAGAATCCGAGAATAGTCCGTCTCTGACCATCAACAATACCCGACGTCTCGTTCGGCCGTGCGCAGGTCAAAGGAGACCCGGACTTCGTAAATCGTAACTCACATCGGCTCTGCTCAGCTTTGTTGAGGAAGCCTCTGTCATAAGGAATCCGAGGTTCAAGGTGGCTGTCTATGCTCAGACGAGTTTCAGATGCCGATGTCTTGATGAAGCTTTTTGGCCTTGCTGCCCAAACTCCACTGCACATGCTGTCCGAGATGTCCCGCATCTCACAGCCACTCAGCCACCTCGGGCCTCTCCAGCAGTTCTTCGCGCATACTTGAAAGAGACTGCAGAATCCAAACCCTAAGCCCTAGTCGCTACCTCAACCGACCACGCGCCAATAACCTCGCCACCACCGAGTCCCTAATCGCAAAACCTGAAACCCTGAATCCATCACGGAGCTGAAGTCAGGCCCGTTTTTCTCAGGGGCAACCTTGCCGAAGGCAAGGCCAGGCATGAAATTTGTGCCACCCAGCCGCGGCATGTGGTCTTAGAAAAGGGGGATCTGAACAAATCTTGATTCAACTGATGTTCCAAATCTGAAGCCTTCAAAGAATATGGCACGAGAATTTACACAAGAGCATGCTCAGGGACTGCGGAGACACTAAATTACTACATGTCCCGGCCCTTCTTATCATCAACGGTAGACCCTGCATGGCGGGTCACGGATATCCGTTTTGGAGGTACATGTATAAAGAATAGACAGATCACTTAAGGTACATTCTATAATGTATTGCTATTTTCGCGTTGCCAAAAACTTCCGAAGGGATCTCTTGCTCTAGGCAAATGCATGTAACCTTGCTCACAGCCTCTCGGGGCCCCATGAAGATCATGGTTCTGCGTAGTTTAGGGTTCTAGGGATACTGGTGCTTGGGATACGTGGTGCGGCATGCAAGAAACTCCGAGACGTATGCGTTGAGACTCGCATGGTTGAGATCTGCGTGGTACGGACATGCACGAGTTCCCTGTGCCCACTAGAATATAGTCAATCAGAGACAGCAGGGACCATTGCATGCGTGCGTAGGTCTCTTTGTCTGGTTCTGGGTTTGTCTAGCAGCGTCTCTGAGGGGCCCGGACCACCACAGCGGCACCTTGCTGCGGAACCGTCCCTTGTCGACGGACTGAGTACTAAACTACTAGCTTTAGCTGGAGGCTCCCACACCTCAAAACACGTACTCCAATGACCCGGTCCCGTGGCCTCCCTCTGTCGGTGAGGTTCAGCGACATGGGCTGAGGCACAGTGTGGGCAGATGATGCCAGCATAATCTTGGGGGTTCGTGTGTTCAGTTGTTGCTTCTGCTCTTGTTCTCTTCTCAACGCCCCCACGACATCCTAAACCCCTTCAGTATCCTGAAAGCATTAAGAGCACCAGTTTCAGGTGCACAAAATACTGCAAACGGCCCTCAAGCATCCCAACACAAGCCGTTTAGCCAATCGTGAAACCTGCAATCGTGAAAGCCCATCGGACCTTAACCGCTGAGTTGAAGCAATTGAAACCTGACACCTAAGTTCACGTAAGGCCCACAAAACCGCTCAACCCCCAAAGCACGTCAAATTCCTGAACACACCTACAACCCCAAAGCCCCAGAAATCTTAATCCCATGACAAGGAAGCCCCAGAGCCTGATGCCGCCAAACACTTCAAATTCTGACAGCTGATAGCCGCAGTAGTAAGCACCAAAGCTCCTTGGCAGAGATGGAAGCGCCACAAACACACTCCAACAATCCAACAACCCAAAACCCTTCAAGCCGATATTGTTATCCTTAGAGCCCCAAACCTTAAGCATCCTAAAAAGCCCCTATAAAACAGAGAGACAGAGAGAGAGAGAGAGAGAGAGAGAACCCCCCACGTTTCTTGCAGGCGCCTTGGCCCGGGAGCAGTTGCAGAAGCCGAAACGTTGTTCAGCGCCTGGAGTGGGGGTTTTGGATCTGGGGCTTTTGCTTGGTGTTGGGATGTCAGGGCTTTACCGGTTTGGGGTGTTGTGACGGATGTTTGCGCGACTCAGGAGGCATTGCGGGCTTCTTGAATTTCTGGGACCTCGCGAGTTTAGTTGGCTTTGGGAGGCTTTGGGCATGTACGGCTTTCAGGTTCAGGGATTATGATTTGTTTGGCTTTTCGGGTTTCTCGGTTCGCTTGCTCACTTAAGCACTAAGTGATTGTGGTCGAGTGTTCGTCCTGGCAGAGCCTTTTGTTGCGCAAGGGTTGGGGTCTGAGTTTTGCTGTAAATTTCAGCTTTCTAAGGGCTCGGGGTTTTGGATGTTTTCCTTGTTTTGCCCCCGAACCCCTGACGGCCAAAGCACATCAACAGGGCTAAGTGTTCCAGCCTTCTGGCAAGCTGCGTAGGGGTTCGGGGTTTATGTTGCCCGGGGTTTGGGCTGACTTAACTTTTGCAGCCTTGGCATGAAGCTGACAAAGACTCGTTTCAACTCCGCGGCATACCCGTCCTCATCCCTCGAGACCTAATTAATCCGGCAAGTCCGAATTGCGGGAGTAAGCTTTACAACCTAACCCTAAAGCCTCAATCCTAAGAGGTGTGGAGGAGCCACTCGACAAAATCCTCAGCCTGATCCCAAGACCCTCTTGCCGGTTTTAAACACTTTGGGCCTGAGATCTCTGAGAACCCAAGCATAGGACCCGTTAGCCCGAAGACCACACACAGAAGCTTGAGCCCAAAACCCCTAACCCCGAAAATATCAGATCCTACCTGCTCAACAAACAGCCCAGCTAGCCCAGTAGACCCGAAACACGCATCACGCTGCACTTTGGAAGCAGTTAGAAACACCACATCATCCCTTACCCATTACATAGCACGACTTGTCATGTTGGCTTGCACCCTCAACGACAACCCCTGCTCCCATGGCGCCGTCCTTACGCTCCCCTGTGCTGTACGCGGGCCTGTGCCTCGTACAGGCAGGGCAAGGCCAGGGTTCGGGAAGGCGTTACATCCGATTGGACTGGGTCTTCATGTGTCGTCGTGAGAAGGGTACGTAATGGCAGCAACTGGGTGATTGTCGGATTGTGCTATGTCCTTCTGACTCCGGTTCTCTCAGAAAACAAGGTCCTTAAATGTATTGAAGCAGACAGACAAGGCCGAAATTGCATCGCTGCTGCCGCCTGTATATAAATAACCCTTCTACTGTAGTACCTTTATATAGACCCTTTTAACTTAGAGCCCTTGTAAAACCCTTTGCCACAAAACCCTCCGAAGACAAGGCTTACCAGCTACTGGAGAGGAACTGTTGGCCGGACTTCTCCGCGCACTACGGCCTTTGCTGTCAGGAGGCTTGCGACTTCTTTTAGGGCTTCAAACTTTTGAGCCCTGTAGCTTAATGTGAAATTGTGTTTAGTGTGGGCCCACCTTCCAGCAAATTGTCGCAGCCCTGAAAAGTGTAGCCCCTTCCAGCCCTACCGGGTACAGTGCGGGGCTGCTGAAGGAGATAAGCGTTTTTGAAGGGCTGCGGGGCCTGTAGAGGGAGATTTGCTCTTTACAGGCATGTGGCAGAGGTGCTCTTTAGAGGGGTGGGGGGAGGTCGCACGTCATAATGCAGTAGTACTCGTAGTACCATCCAAGCCGGGTAGTACTGTGACAGTGCAAGAGTAGTACAGCAATAATCACTAGTAAGATGCTTAGTGGAGTAGTCTCACGTAGCAGTACAGTAGTAGCAGCGTAACATAGTAGTAGTAGTGGTAAGTGGTAGTGGAAGTAGTAGCAGTAGTAGTAGTAGTAGTAGTAGTAGTAGTAGTAGTAGCAGTAGGAGCACTAGTAGTAGTCGTCGTCGTCGTCGTAGTCGTAGTAGTCGTAGTAGTGGTAGTAGAAGAAGAAGAAGAAGTAGTAGTAGTAGTAGTAGTAGTAGTAAAAGTAATAGTAATAGTAATAGTAGTATAAGAGTAGGAGTATGAGTACTGTAGGAGTGGGAGTGGGAGTAGTGGTAGTGGTAGTACCGGTACCGTGGTACTGTTGCACTGCAACAACCAGAGTACTAGAGTCGTAGTACGGTAGGACAGCGGTAGTACAATAAGAGGCTTTAAGCCGTTCAGTGGGGCGGACAAGGGTTTGAAGAGCGTGGAGGCTTTTCTCACTCGATTTGCGAAGGGTTTAGGAACATCCTACAATACCCCCGACAGCCAAGCCTCTGAGGCCTCTTGTTATCCTCAACCGAATATGAGTCGACCATGGGCGTGGGCATCTGTTGAGGGGATGCGACGAGCTAGCCCCAGGTGGGACTTTGGACTGGAGTTCCGAGAAGTATGCTTTGAAGAATCCCGATCCTGGAGCTATTCAGGTGTTAAAGGGTTAAGGGTTAGCCCACTTCCGAGTGCTGCAGGGAATCCCTTCTCCAGAACATTGCTTCGACAATGCCGGACTCACCTTCGAGAAGTGCTGTCGATGCGAAAAGCCTTCTTTGGAGGCATGGCCCCTCCGGTAGTATCCTTTTTTCGTTTTGATCGCCTAGCAGCAAGTCAGGAGAACGAACACATGTCGTTTCCATGTGACCCAGGACAGCCTTGGGCAGTGGTACACTCAGCAGTTTTTTGGACCACTTCTCTGTGATGGGCCATCTGTGAAAGCCCATGCCAGCGACTTCTGGGTGCTCGACCGCGGTCAACAGCGGAAGTTGCAAGTCTATGTTTACCCACTTGGCCGCATCTTCAATGCCGACATACTGAACCGGCTACAGCTCGGTGGCTGGACGTCCGGAAGCGAGTGTGACTACGGGCTGACACCTTGCACGGAAGCGCGCTGGAACAGCTTGTTTTCGGTGTATCGACAATTTGCAACGGAGGCTTTAGTGTTACTGAAATTCCTAGCTGCGCCCGACGGTGTGCTCACGGAGGATCCCACTAAAGCAGACCTTTTCGTGGTGCCCTACTTGGCGAAAACCGATTGTGCTGAGAGTGGCAATGCAGGGCGGGATCCCTGCTGGGGGAAGTGTCGCTGCTCTACGGCAGTGAAGCACCTGCGGCTGCAGATGACTTTATTATGCTGGCTACTGCGGGTTCTTCCCTTGCGTTTGGGATCGTTCCCATATCACAAGTATTCTACTGTAAGCTATAATAGCTCCAAGCAATGACAGTGCCGGACTAGACTCCTTTTCTCTTTCTCTTTTTCTGTCGCACTCTCGCTCGCTCTCTCTCTCTCTCTGTTTCTCTCTCTGTCTCTCTCTCGCTCTCTTTCTCATATATTGACACACGCACACGGACACGGACACGGACACGGACACGGACACGGACACGGACACGGACACGGACACACACACACACACATGCACACTTATATATATATATATATATAGATATAGAGCGTAGTAGTAAACTTAGTAAACATGTAGCGAGTGTTCTGCTCTGTGGAGGCATCTCTTCGAGTCCTTGCCGCACTATTCCTGGCGGACGCGTGCGCGCCACCTCTTTCTCGCCACAGGGGACATCAAGGACCTGCCCGTCGAAATCCAAGGTCAACCACTGCTTATCTCTTTGGGAGCCTCCTTCTGTGGAGGCCACATTGCCCCTGGGATTATGTGTCGGGTACCCAAATCTACCCCAGTTCACAACGTCTTCCTGTAACTTTTTCTCTCTTCTCGATGGGTTCTCCGCTTGTCCATCTAACAGTCTAACAATGACTATGAACTTACTTATTTCTCTACCTAGCTATCTATCAATTTCCCTGCCTCGCTCTCGCGCTCGCTTTGTGCTTGTCCTAAACTGCTGTTTTGTAATATTATGTATGCTTATATGTAGGTCGACATCTGTCTGTACAAGTGTTTGTTCGTGGTGTATGCATGTCTGTGTGTGTATGTGTCACAAATGTGAGCATATATGAATAGAGGCATATACATAGATGTCTTATAATTTTCATTTACCGAACACAAGCATAGACATGCAGACAGGCTCTAGCGATTACGGCACTTGACTTGACAATCGAGCCTGATTTGGGTGCAGACGGATCTGAATAATAAGGAACCCCCCCAAAACCCTCTAAATTCTATGAAGGCCCCCTACAGTAACAGGAAAAGCCCAGGTGGTACCCAGCCCCAACTTGGACCCAGACCTCCAGCCTGGCGGGAAGATGGAGCTCCAAGAGGGAGCAGGGCGGGAGCCGATTCGGCATGTGCCGTGGCACTGGAGAGCCTTAAGAGGTGAACGTTATAGGAGCCTTATAATCGAAGGTCTATATACCTTATAGAAGCCTTATATAGAAGCCCTATATAACCTAAACTCGGGTTCCCATTTCAAGTCCGGTCTTCTCGCGTTGGGGCTTCGCGGTTTGTAGGGCTGCAGGAATGTCGGCTTCTGGGTTGGAGCTGCAGGGGTTGGCCTGCTGGGAGGGCCCTTTCGGGTCAGCGGCATCCGCTCGTAGTGAAGATCCTAACCCAAAGCCAACTCAGGTGTTTGCCTACTGGTTCGGCTCAAATGACAAGCCGTGGCGCTCCCTGGCCCACTCTTTGGGACAGCCTTTTTCTCCGGGTTCAGGGGTCGATGAATTGCCGTCCTGAATGGGTGCGTACTAGTGTGGTAGGATGTCCTTAGTATGTCTCCAAGGCAGACGAGTCGTGGGCCAGCTGTTAAAGTACCAGCAGACTGCCGGAGCAGAAAAGGCGAGGAAGTCTTTGCTGGTATGGACCGCGGCCCACAGGTTGGACGGATAACGAGCACAATGGATCATAGCCGTTGTCATAGTTGTTCGTCGTAGTCGTAGTAGTCGTCGTAGTAGTAGTAGGCGTAGTAGTCGTCGTCGTCCTAGTAGTAGTAGTAGTAGTAGTAGTAGTAGCAGCAGCAGCAGCAGCAGCAGTAGTAGTAGTAGTAGTCGTAGTGGTAGCAGCAGTAGGAGTAGCAGTCGCAGCGGTGGTTTCTCTTTATTAAGCACTTGTTGCGCTCTCACGACATGAAGATTTTATAGCCTTGTAGAGCCAATATTGAGGCCTAATGAAGCCCTCATTAGGCCCTTCTTCCATAACATTGAGGTTAGGATCCGGGGTGCGGGTGCGATCTTCTTCACTTTTCCGGTTTCGAGATTTGTCTGGTTTCCCATGCCAAGAACAGCTACGGGCCTCGAGGCCTGAGCACTCGAGCGTGGGACCAATTCTTAAGGGTTCAAAAACGGCAAGCGCTCATGTCCGAAAGTGTCGATTCGAAACGTGAATGGGAGCCCCGCCTTGAGATGGAGTTGAGGATGCGGCGTTTTCGGGCCAGACTGAAGAGGATTCATGCATACAGTACATACATGCATAGTAACGCACGAACATACTAACACAACATAACATAAGTAACATAACATGACATAGCATAACAGCAACATAACATAACATACATTATATATATATATGTAGATAGATATGTGTGTATATATATATATATATGTATATGTATATGTGTGTATATATGTATATATATATATATATGTGTGTGTGTATATATATATATATAGAGAGAGAGAGATAGAGAGAGAGTTCTCCCCACTTCATCTCGGTCGTCCGAGTCCCAGTGAGTGCCTAGAACAGACAGTTTGGTATCAAACAGATCCCCAGAGCCTCAATCCCAAACTGTAGCTCAAAATCAACTTCTTGCGCCGAGAAGGTGGTAGTCCACGACATCGGCAGCAACTACGAGGCACGCGATATCTGGCAAACCACCGCTGCATCCCCGCAGATGGTTCTGGAGGAGATGATGAGGCCCTGACAAGGATTCCACATAGAAGTTTCGGTTTGGAGTTTCGGGGTTTGGAAGGAGCTGGATTTGTCTGGCCAACTGGCCTTGCATAAGTATCATGCCTAGTTTGTTTGTATGCCAAAGATCTCCATGCAAGGTCAGTCTTCTGCCCGGTTGTGCAGGGCGACGTGCCTCACCAAAAACGCCTCTTCGCCAGAGCCCGAGAGGGGTCTGCTCAGAAGAGAGTTGCATCACGGACTGCGGCTACGGTACTGGTGGCAGTGGTTGGGTTGATGCAGATGCTGTTTGTAGCAGCGCGAAGGAATTATGGGACTTAAGTGAACGCTGCTACAGTAGTACGTCTTATTTGAAGTGCGATTGCTCGCCGTAACCACTGCTGCCTGCACAATTGCTTCTGCTGCTGCTTGTCGACTGAGTCCGACCGCTTGCCGACCCCTCCACAACCAAGGATGCGGTGCTGACAGGCTGTATTCCGGTGGTTGTGGCATTCCCGTCGCATGTCCCAGGCAAGGCGCTCTTTTGCAGGATTCGGTAGTTTCAGGGTTTAAAGTCAGGAAAGGAGGACGGTGGGGCAGTCAGTTTGGGGATCCCTTGTTGAAGAAGCCCAGCTTCGGGCTTCGAGGCACACAGTTCCACATGTCCGAAGTCACAGAGATGAGGGTTTCCTGAAATACTATAGGGCACCAATTAATTATCAATACTATTTTGGTGGTCCCATACTATCGCTATAGTAAAATATATCCCAAAACCCTATTCGAATATCAAGGCTCCTGTAATATATCGTTAAAGCGGAGACGGAGGTCGCGTCAGTTGGTGGCTACCACAGGGTCCACCTGCGGAGCGCATGGCCGAGGCCTCAGTCAGCCGCTTTCCGTGTATCAGACGGAACTTTCAGGGTTTAGGGGATTGGGGTTTAGGGTTGTAGGCTTCAGGGCTTCGGGGTTTAGGGTTTAGCATTCAGGCGATTATGCAAAAAAAGGGTTTAGGATTGTAGGCTTCAGGGTTTAAGGTTATAGACCTGTCTACAGCCAAGGCTGTGATCGATCCTTGCCCTGCGAGAGAGTGCTGGTGTGCCGTCTGAGTCTGGGGCCTCTGGGGCCTAGATGTGGAGAATTTCGTGTCGGCCCTTTTGACCTGAGGTACCCTTCTGGGATTCGATCGATTATCGCAGCTTCGTGGTCGAGGTCGAGCAAAGTGAGGCCCATGAGTGTTAGAAGGTGAGCCATGTGCATCCATGTTGAATTATATAGGGGTTTGCGCTTAAAGGAGGTGTTATATACGTGGGCAATCTCGATCACCCTTGTGGCACACTCGTCTGGCCTGTGCATGAGGGGTGCTCCATTTGCTTCGACTTCTGTTATGGAGGTAGGGCTCACTACAACCGTTGTTCTAAAAAGGCAGGACCGTCTTGCAAACAGCTGCGGTGAAGTGGTTTCAAAGGAAACAGAGAGCAAGAAATCGACATAGGGTTTGATTGAAACCAGCCAGCTCGTCCTTGTGGCAAGTATTCAGGTAGCAGCACAAAAACTTCTAAGCACAAACATCATCATGATCCCTGTAGCAGATCCCTAAACGCAACATGCCCCAAATCGCAAAGAGGTAGAAGCCGGCCGACTCGTGGAGAAACTGCTGCAGCTGTCCCCAGAAGACCGATCCAGGAATCCGAAGGGGGTTCTTGTTGTAGTGATGGCTACATGCGAAGACAGGATGCAGGATTTGTTGTTCAAGCATTGGGTTTTTATGGTGTTGGGGCGTCGATGCCTTTCGCACTAGACAGCGTTAAACATAGACTTTGAACTTGAAACAGCTCTGTTGCATGGTCGATTCTCTCGGTGGTTTCATAGTCTTGCTTAGCTCTGTAGCTCAACTATTCTGGCGGCCTGAAGGGAGCGGAGGGCCGATCCCGCACAGTTTTCCCCCATCTGTTCATCCATCGATCTCTAACCCTAAAACCCTACAACCCTAAACCCCTTAATATTCCAGACATATACAGTGGTGATGCAAGTGCTGGCATATGCATGTTCACGAGTCTGCATGGGCTGAGAGTGGGTGGTTGAGGAAGTGATGCCGAGTAGATGCAAACCCTTGACATTAGGGAGCAGAACGTAAGATGAAACAAGTTTCACGGATCCTTCCGAGCCGAACTAGGTCTTGGTTGTTTGTGTTGGGTCTAGGCGAGTGGGCTCGCGAAGGTGGCTGTCAAATGGATATTACCTATGCTTGCGCACCTGCTGTTTTCTTGTCTCTATCCTACTTGACAGCGAGCCTCAAAGTGAAACCTACTTTGTGGCGTCTGTTAACGCTTCTTGAAGACGGTATTGTGGTGGACCTTGCCAGGCTTGTCCGAGTGTGAGTGCCAAAAAAACCCCTTAACCCTAAACTCCTAAACCCTCAGAAGCTGTCCAGGCGGCGCGAGGCGATGCGCGCCGCGAGGCCCAAGCTCCGTTTTGATTTCGCCGGGACATTCCCCGACGCCTTCTCCGAGCTGCTTCGTGAGTCGCTTGCCTCATAGTTGCGTTCTTTGACTCGGACACAGAAGGCGCAGGCTGTCGACAGTCTAGTCATTCCGGCGTGTGGAATGAGACATGCTATGAATCTTCTTCGCTTTAGCATATTTGCATTCCGGCCTCTGTTTGAACCCCAACTAGGTGGAGAGTGGCTTCGAAGCCGAGTTGATACAAGTGCTCTGAAGCCTCTCCTGCAGTAAAGACTGTAATTTCAGTTCTCAGGGGTTTCGTGCCTGGATGCTGAGGATCTGGAGCTTTCTCCAGACTCTACGGCCGGGTCGCGGCAGCAGCGTTGCCCAGCCGGACTCTGGGGGTCAAGGATAGAGGGCTTAACTTGAGAGCAGAATAGATACCTCCAAAGGGCTCATCCGGCATGGCATAGATCCTGGTTTGTGGACGGGGGCTAGAGTCGTCAGAGTCTTACCATTTCAGGTCTGTTCTGGTGCCACCTTTTCTCGGAAGCTATGGTCCGAAGCCAAACTCTTGTAAGCTTGTCTGACTGAGATCATATAGGAAGCGCTGGCTCAGCAGCATTGACTCCGAAGCTCATACAGGTCTGGCGTTGAGGTGTTGCTCGGGACGTTTCAGGGTCTCTAGTCCCACCGGTGTCACACCAAGGTCGGCCTGATGCTGGATGCTTCTTGAATCGAATGTGCACTCCCCCAAGTTTCGGTCGCTCGCAGATCTTACATAGACTTTGCAAACGTGACGTCGTTTCATGCAGGTGTGACTGCACTGGTGTGTGCCGTGCACGCGCACGCATGCATGTGTTTGTCTGCAGGTCCGTGGCTTTGGCAAAGTCATGTTTATGTCGATCTCGTCTCTTGTAGGGGCTGCCTGTGAGGACGGAGGCTCGGAACTAAGTTCCGAGCCTTTAGTACTGCGTTTAAAGCTGAGGCACACCACATGGATTTGGCTAGTTGTTGTAATTCGGACTGGACTTTCATGCGAGCAGTCGTGTTCTTGTTGTCCCAAGGTTTATGAGCGGAGTCAGTCCCATTCTCCCCCAAATCCTCGAACCCCTAAATCCTAAAATCCTACCCCTTCCTTCACATTCCGAGGCTGCAAACACGTCCTCACCGGCCTTCGACTGTGGCGTGCCGCCAGCAGTGCAGGACAAGGGCTGAGGTTTGGGCTTCGGCGGCTTCGGGTTTCGGGGAGTTGGAGTTTAAGGAGTATTTAGAGGAGTTGGGCTTAGCGGCTTAGGGTTTGGGCTTCGGGTGTATGTCGCTTTGGTATTGAAAGGGGCTGTTTCATGAGTGGCCTTCCCCTGGTCCCTGGTGTGTGGCTTCTTCCTGCCTTCTTGTTGCTAATCCGTCTTTTTCTTAGTGCCGCCTGCCTTTAGCATCAGGTTGCTTTGTCTTATGCTTGCCGGCTTCGTTCTGCGTGTCTTGGTGCTTCTCTGTTGCTGTCTGCAGACTGCAAGTTAGATACCTCAACGAAGTGCAGCAAAGAAACGATCCTCCGAATTGTCATGTCTCCATAATCGCGAAGAAAGTCGTGCCGGCGGGAGTTTAGAGCTTAGGGTTAGGGCTTCAGCGGTTTCGGATTGAGGGTTCAAACCCAGGTTAGTTGTTACGTTCATGACTCATGACAGATAAAATCAGATGCTCTGGTTCTGAAGGAGGTGGCTGCAAATATGAAGTTACAAGCATGGAATCGCCAGGGCACGCAGATGTACGGGCACATGGCATGCTGCCCAGTCACCTCGGGTAGCTTGGCTGAGCTTGGACTTCCGGCTTCTGAGGCCTGAATCCCGCGCGCAAAGGTCGGAGATGTCGACCTAAATCCTGAGAGACAACCAAAGGTTTCGAGGACATGGACCCCATCCAGGGCGTGAGGTCTGAGAGTTGAACTGAGCCGGACTCCCAAAAAATTCGCAGCCTTGCGAAAGCTTTTGGGGCTGGGTGTAGCAGAACATCGTTACATATACATGTATACATACATGTGTATGTACAACAGGTATTTGCATTCGTCTACAAACATACGTGCGCACTTAAATACATGCCTACACAAATACATGCGCACATGCATACTTTCCGCATGCATACATACATGCGTCCATGCATGCATATTTGCATGCATACACGCAGTGCATAGTTACGTTCGTAGGTATGTCAGTACTTGCACACATAGGCTGTAGTTTCATCTAGGCAACACTGGCAGTATCATTTGCACCTCTCGATGCATTGCTGTTCGAAAACGTCATACCGACATCAGACTATTAAGGCACACCATGACATAGGCGTACAGCACGAGCACGCAGCACATATCAGCAACACGGATAGTAAGCACAAAGACTGACAGTAGCTACGATTATGTATTGTTGTTGCTCTATTATTTACTATTAGTTACGATTGTTAGTGTTCTCACCAGCAGCAGTCGAGTTCCTTGTCAAAGAAAGTGTTCTCACCAAAACGCTTGCCCACCTCCTCAGGGCGACCTCGGTTTTGAGCACCGCCCAAAGAGGACGATCTCGGAGCAGCAAGCGAAGGAGACAACGAAGGATGGGTCAGTGCAGGTTCGTTCCAAGGTTGCAACAGAGTGTGGGTTCGGCATTCAACGTTCTCGCAGCCCCGAACGCTAGCCTGACTGTCCGAGTTGAGAACGCCAGAACCCTGAACCCTACGAGAGTGGGAGCAGACCTTAATGCGTCAGGACGGCCGGATTGTTTTCTTTCTCATCTCAGAGCTCTAGCAGGGGGCTCTAGTGTAGACCTCTGCTGATTATGCTTTCTACGGCGATATTTGTTCCGGATTTCAGCCGTCAGGCAACCTGGGTGTGTCAGACAGAGACGCCGCGCCGCAGCTCTTCTGCCTCAAAGTGCACTCCGTCCACGAACCGCCGGACCCCAGACGCGCAGAATATCTGCAGGCCTCACAGCACATCTTCGACGGTTGTTGGTTTAACTGTTGGTTTGGGGTTAGGGTCTGCAGTCCAAGGTTAGGGAGTGCAGCTTCCTGATGAGCCGAAGCCAGCGTTTGATCCAGGGTAGACCTCTGCAGGAAACTGTAATGCCCAGCCCCCATGTCCGGAACTGTGCAGGCACCAGCATCACCAGCGACACCCCCTGCTGGCGCGGCATAGTGTCTCCGCTCGGCAGGCAAAAGAAGGTTCTGCCAGAGCCGAGGGGTGTCAGTTGTTCAGCGTCATGATTGGAGTCAACATGCAGACTAGGCTTGCCGGTGCCATCGCACTGGCATCACCTCTAGATCTTGGGAACATATAATCATATAGTTTTGGGCATTGGGATGAATTTAACCCGGTGCCCCCAAGTCGTGGAATCTTGCTTAAGACTGTATAGACCGGTAGTGTTTTGAAACCTTAATTCCTTATAAACGTGAATGTGAAGACACGATCCAAAGCCTTGAGGCTTACTCAGTGGCAGCAGCGCAGTGGCACCATCAGAGCCGCTCGTACAGTTTAGGCCCTAATTATGGACTACGCTTCCGTACTTGTGCACACCATTGCCTGACAGGACAACTTGCTTCAAGCTGTCCTTCATTCCTTGGCACCACTGTTAGCCTGCCGTGATATTTTCGGCGTCGTAAATATCAGGTGGTCGTGCGCGTGCGCCCACCCTCAGGCCAAGATATCGGGTCGTGATGGAGCTATGTGAGCCTAGGTTTGTTTACGAAGGCCTCTCTGGTGGGAGTCTTTGAGGACGATCTTAGGCATGACTCCTGTCAGCGGGTTCATGCTTGTGACACCGTGTGCGCCGCCCCAAACCTTACTACGCTGACGTACAATGCGGGTCTGGATAATTCGCAATGCAACTCCTTAGCCCTGCATGGGGGGTGATTGCAAGACTTTTGCAACGCCCCAGAACCCCTATAGTAGATGCCAGGCCGGCCCGATTCTGGGAGCGAAACCACAGGCCAAGACTCGGTCATGCACTAAGCCTCGCAGAGAGTCGTTGATAGGCGATAAAAGACTGGAAGTTCGGAAGATTCGAGCAGGGTTTCGGTGTCTCTCCTAGCATAGCTAGTATCGGGACACATTGCAAGCACCAAAGTTTCGGCTTGGGAAGCAAGCCGGTTGCTCAAGGGGCTGTCTGGTGGAGAGTCCCTGTTTGATCCGAATCAGTGAAGGCTTGTTTAAGAAAGAATTTTGTTGCGGAAGCTCTCGCGCGAAAGTGTAGGTTCATAGTCTACACTTGATTATGGCATCGGAGCACGGGATTGGAGCCAAGCTTGCAGAGAGCGGACCCATGTAACTTCACGAACGACTGTGGCGCACAGGCACAAGCCTTGCTTCGAAAACATGTCACGGGTTTCGCCACCTTTGGTGATTTTTTTGATCGAATCTAAGTTTTGTTGTTACCGCAAGGATTTGACCAGATTTGTTTGAGTATGCCAGACTGTCAGCAGCGCCGTACCGACCGACTGTCGGAAAGTTTAAAAGATCGACATGTGGAGGGAACCACATCTACGAGATGCCAAAGGCCCCCCACGACTGCAGTGCCCCGCGTGCGCAGGTCGGCCCCACCCCCAGAACTGCAGGAGAGTGGTCGTCATACTATGAGAAGTGGCAGCAGTAGCAACAATGATGTAGCCAATGTCGGGAATTCCTTAAAATGTCGAGTCAAGCACTGATCATGATGCTGCACCGCCGGCGAATTCCCCGCTTGACCAGCCTTATCATCCTCACCGCTATTGTTTTCATGGCTCTCACCCCGTAGAACTTAAACTACTAATATGCCTCAAAACCCTCTTAAAATCGTCCGGAGAGCCTTTGGATTAAGGCTGTGGGACTGATTGAGGGCGTTGCGAAGCACCGGGGTCTCACGGCCCCTCGGCCTGAACTTGGACATGCGTAGTTCTCTAATTCTAGGGCCCCTGTTTAGTTCCCAAAATAGTACGGCACCCTTCTGAAGTTAGAGCTACGCCTCTGACAAGGGGATACGGGTTTTGAGTATACAGCGTCTAGGGACTAGGGCTTCGATCATCAAAGTTTAGGGCTAAGGGTTTCGGTTGCTATTATACCGTTTAATTAGAGTGCTTCGGGTTCACATTTAATTTGAGGTTTCATTCGCCCCGCACAGACTCGTGAGATGCGTTTATATACACACTGCTACGCACATCTTTAGGTACTTGCAGTATTCATACATGTTATCTCTCCGAACCAATTTAGGGCTGGGCACTTAATGCTCCCATCATCAGCACTCATCATCATGGGTGAGAAAAAACCCTGCTGCGACAAGGTGTCTGTGCCGCGGCGCAGCGGCCGCCCAGGTTCTGACGCAGCCTTCTCGCAGTGTAGTACACATATTTTTTGGGGTTTGACCTAAGGGTTTAGGGTTTGGGGAGGGTGAGACAGGTGAATGATTTGTAGAGCTGAGCTGCTGCACTACCCTTTTGGGCTCTGGTGATGAAGGACATCTTGTTTCACAAGGCTTTCGATGAAGCTAGCCCAGGAAGTTCACAGCTTCAAGCGCCTGGACTATGTGCTCAGCCCGGATCAGGACCTCGTATCCTTTCACAGGGAAGTAGATGCAATTACTGAAGAGGTCTGCAGTACAATACGCGGCCTCATTGGTACTGTGAGGGCAGCTGTGCTAGAGATGGGGTCTTGTGACCGTAAGACAATAAGTGGTTATGCGTATGATTACGGCTTCTGTTGTTAGTTCTCTGGTTCTTATTGCTTCTGGTATTACGATGTTTTTGTTCATTGTTTTGTTGTTATGCCGACAACGATGACCCATAATAATAACCATGCTAACTCGTGTTACTACAAATCTCAAACTTAATCTTTAAAGTTATAGTTATTACTATGATGACGGTTAGTATCGCTCCTAACAACGATGCTCGTTATTTTTGTTAGGTCAAATGTATAGGAATCAGAGACTGGGGCACGGATTCGCGTTGATGGCTTTAGTTGCTGGGCTGCTGGAACGGGCATGTATTCGTCTTGACGGTTGTAGTTGCTGGGCTCTTTAGGATGTTAGGGTCCAGGGCTGCGGGTAATGTAGTGATGTTTGTGCAGTATGGTTTGCGACCGGCACCAGGCCAGTCAGAGCTGGGTCGCCCGGCATGAATGCCAAGGCCGAAGTGACTGGAACAGTTGCCGGAATGTGGCCGAACTAAATTCCAGGCCGGTGGCAGAAGGAGAAAGTTGATGCATCGTCTGATCATGTTAAATCAGCGTGGGCTGTGGCAGAGTGTAGCAAGGATTAAGCAGAGTGTTCTCACATAGCAGCATGAAATACAGAATAGATAGCCACAACGATAATCATACTACAGAATAACGTGGAAGAACCACCATGTAACACATGATAGCAGAATGTAGTTCCAAATTATGTAGTATTTCACAGTATCAAGAATCATCTAGATCATAACACATCACGTCATCTCTCGTCTTATCTGACCGGGTAGCCATATCCATATCATATCCATGTCCACATCATATCCACATCATTTCTGTGTCGTATCTGTCTTTACCATATCGCAGTCATATCATGTCACGTCCTGCCCTGTCCTGTCATGTAATTTCTTTAATTTGTATGTCATACCATATTTTTCCGTGTCGGATCTTACCATTTCATGTCATATCGCATCATATCATGTCATACATATCATCTCAAAGTTGGATTGCAAAGATGGGGAGCCGATAGGTACACTAGAGAATTCAGACAAGGTAGCTGTATGTATGTAGACAGACACATACACATACACAACAGTTAACAACATATACATGTGCATATACAAATACAAATACATATACACACATAACAACTACGTACATGCATACACACACACAAAATACAAAACAACAAAACATGTATGTCCATGCAGTTTCGGCGACCTATTCCATGTTCTGCGTGTTTTTGTTTTCGATCACAGAGTGTATCTTAGATTTCCGCTTCGTGCTTTTCACAGAGGGTACTTTTCGCCTTCAAAAAGTGACGATCAGAAACTGCGAAAACCTGACAAATGTACGTTGAATCTGTTGCTGCGTCCGTCCGGTTTCCACAGGATATCTGAAGGTCGTCTTTGGTGTTTGTCCACTGTCAGTTTCCTGTGGTGAGACATGCCTGGGCATAGTTTCCGGTAAAGGGGATGAACTGTCGGCCGGAAATTGGGAAAAGCGTGGGAAAAAGTGTGGGAAACCATGGGATTCTTTCAGGTTGTGGTGGGAAAATGTTGGATTTGTCAGGCTTTGGTGGGATTTGTTCAGGTTTTGGAGGTTCTTCGCCATGGGGCGGCGCTTCCGACAACAACTCGGACTTTTTCCGACTGATGATAGAGTGTGATTTCTGCTCTGCAGGATCTGCAGGGTCTGTGTTTCAAAGTGACCGGAAACGGAACATATGATGCTGCGATGCTGTTGAAGAGAAGCGGCCCTGACTTGTGATGTGGACGTCAGCCAAAGCTGTTGTCAGGTTCCTTTGGGTTCCTGTCTGGTTTCCTTGTCCTTCGGTTTGTTTCAGGTTTTGTTTGGTGTTTGTTAGGTTT